AACACGAGGAAAGTAGTTAATAGGGGATCAGGGCATAAATTCTAAAAACAATCGGCCTGGTCGTTACAGTTCCATTTCTCCATTATTATTTCCTTCTAAAAGAAATTCCCTTTCCAAAAAGGTTTCTCCTCTGGCCACAAACACTTTATGGTCCGAAGGGTGATAAAAATAATATACCATTGTTTCCTTGGGATACCCAATGAACCTACACTTATCAGATCTTGAGTCAAGTTTATCAGACTGTAGTCTCTTAACATAAGCTGGACAACCCGAAACTTTAATATGTTTAAGGTTAGGCTTATATCCTTTCCATATCTCATATGGTGTTGTAGAGACTGACTTAGTGGGAACTTTATTAAGTAGGTATGTTGCTTCTTCCAAAGCGTATCCCCATAAATTTATTGGAAGATCAGTGAACCCCATCATAGATCTCGCCATATCTAATAAGGTTCAATTTCTCCTTTCAGACACACCATTGTGTTGTGGTGTCCCTAGAGGTGTCCACTGTAAGAGAATCCCATTCTCTTTGAGATATTAAAAGGTCATCACTTATTTTAAGAAGAAATTCTGTGTTCCGAGGCCTTAAAAACCTCCTTTTGTCTTACCTCAATTTGCGTGCATAGTCTGGGCACGTAGCCGGGAAGCCAATATGTGAAAATCTATGAAAAATGATGAATTTTGAATTTAAAATGAATTAATTTGATTTCGGTCAACATTTTGGGTAAACGGACCCGAACCCGTGATTTGACGATCCCAGAGTGTCCGTGAAAAAATATGGGACTTGGGCGTATGCCCGGAATCGAATTCCTAGGTCCTAAGCCCGAGAAATGAATTTTTAAAGAAAATTATTTTCTGGAATATTTAAGAGGTTTTGGAAATGAAATGTGTTTAAAACCTGATGGTATTGGGCCCATATTTTGGTTTCGGAGCCCAGTATAGGTCTTATATGAGATTTAAGGCGAGTCTATGAAATTTGGCAAGATCGGACTTGAAATGACGTGAATCGGACCGTATTTGAGAAAAATGGAAAATTTGAAGTTCTTAAGAAATTTCATGATTTTGATGCTAAATTCATAGTTGTTGATGTTATTTNTAGGAAACGGACTTGAAATGACGTGAATCGGACCGTATTTGAGAAAAATGGAAAATTTGAAGTTCTTAAGAAATTTCATGATTTTGATGCTAAATTCATAGTTGTTGATGTTATTTTGGTGATTTGAATGCACGAGCAAGTCCGTATGATATTTTTAGGTTGGTGTGCATGTTTGGTTTGGAGCCACGAGGGCTCGGGTGAGTTTTGGATAGGCCACAGAGTAGAATTAGACTTGGAAAATTGCAGGTTTTCAGCTGTTCTATTGCAGGCCTGCAGGCTTCGCATTTGCAAAGCCTGGCTCGCAAATGCGAGTTCGAAAATGCGAGTTCGCAAATGCGAGGGCTGAGTCGCAAATGCGAACTAGCCCAGGTTAGCCTTCCCTCGCAAATGTGATGTTACCCATATTTGCCAGTCGTCGCAAATGCGATAGAATGTTCGCAAAAGCGACTTCGCAAATGCGATAGAATGTTCGCAAAAGCGACTTCCCAAATGCGAAGGTCGCTTCGCAAGTGCGATAACAACAGAGTTTGGGTTCGCAATTGCGATACCTGAAGCCTGTAAGTTCATAACTTAGACGCATTTTCAACCATTTTTCACATCTTCTTAAAACATAAACCCCCTAGGGCGATTTTTCAAAGGCAACTTCTCTTTCTAATCGTCTGTAAGTGATTTCTAACTACTTTTCTTCAATCCTTAACATCTTTTCACATGATTTCAACTCAAAGTCAATGGTTTTCATGGGGGAAATTGGGTGTTTTAGGTAGAACCTATGTTTTTCCAAAAATTGGGGAATTGGACCTCGATTTGAGGTCCGATTTAAAAAAAATTATATATTTGGTTTCGTGGGGGAATGGGTAATCGGGTTTTGGTTCGAACCTCGGGTTTTGACCATGTGAGCTTGGGGGAGATTTTTGACTTTTTGGGTAAAACTTTGGAACACTTATTTTCATGCATTATAATTGATTCATTTAGCGTTTATTGATGTAATTAAGTAACTTGTGGCTAGATACGAGCGTATTGGTGGTGGAATCAAGAGGTAAAATGATAGTAGAGTCTTGAATTGTGTTCGTGGCATCGAGGTAAGTATTTGGTCTAACCTTATCTTGAGAGATTAGGAGTTGTGTCCTATTTGTTATGTCTTATTTGTTGAGTACGACGTATAGGCATGGTGACGAGTATCTATACGTTGGTGTCAAGCATGCTCCTGAGTCTTATACTATGATTAAGTGACTCAGTTTCGTATTTTTCATGCTCTATATGATAATTCCTATTGAGGAATATGACTTGTGGAAGTATTATTGTTAATTGAACATGGTAGAGCGTTGGCTCAAGTTGAGAATTTAATTGTTGAACATGGTAAAGCATAGGCTCAAGTTGAGAATTGAATTGTTGAACATTGTAGAGCATTGGCTCAAGTTAAGAATTGAACTGTTGAACATTATAAAACATTGGCTCAAGTTGTGAATTGAGTTGTGAAGTAAATGTGAAAGAAGAAAGGAGAGAGAGAATCATGATATTGTCTCCCTTGCCTGGATATTATTGTTTTGATATTGTTTTCACTTGCAGGGATTTGATTGTTATACTATTGTTTCCTTGCCGGTATTTGTTTGTGATTTCATTTATTTCCTTGCCCTTATTTCTTGTGATTGTTGTTTGGGTGAGGAAGAGTCTTAAAGCACGAAGGGTGATGCCGTGTGTGATTTTGTGAGGAAGAGTGTAAAGCACGAAGGGTGATGTCGTGTTGCACGATGTACAATTCTGTGCGGATTATATTGATTTTATGGTGAGGATGAGAGTAAAAGCATGAAGGGTGATGTCGTGTTGCACGATGTACAATTCTGTGCGGATTATATTGATTTTATGGTGAGGATGAGAGTAAAAGCATGAAGGGTGATGTCGTGCAGTTTATATTGATTCTTATGGTAAGGACGAGAATAAAAGCACGAAGGGTGATGCCGTGCACTTGTCCTTGATTTTCCCGATTCTTGCTAATAATTGAGTTATGTTGTCCTTTGCGTTTATTTACAGATTTTCTATTGTTACCTTATTTTATTTTGATGTTATAGATTCCTTTACCCTATTTGCCTTGTGATTGTTACGTGGGTGAGGAAGTGTGTAATGCACGAAGGGTGATGCCGTATATTGTTTTGGTGAGAGAGTGTTAAAGAACGAAGGGTGATGTCGTGCACTTGTCTTTTATTTCCTGATTTTTATTGATAACTCAGTTATGGTTTCTCTATATTTAATTGATGGTTTCCTGTTGATACTTGTTGTACCCCGCAACATGATTCCCCCTTCCTATTTTCAATTGAACTGTGGTGATCCTCATATTTATTTGTTGTTCTTCTGTTATTATTCGATGTCCCCTCATCATGTTACCCCCTCCCATACTTAACTGCACATTATTGTTCTTCTTTTCCGCTGTATGTGATTTAACTGCGCAGGTTTATTTGGTAGTCTAGTCCTAACCTCGTCACTACTTCGCTGAGGTTAGGCTAGGCACTTACCAACACATGGGGTCAGTTGTGCTGATACTACACTCTGCACTCTTTTGTGTAGATCCCAGTGTTATAGACTTCGGACCGCAGTGAGATTGCTGCTTCTTGTTCATCAGGCAACCCGAGGTAGTCCTGTAGGCATCCGCAGTCCTTGGCATCTCCTTCTATCTACTATTCCTGTTTCTTTCATGTATTTCCAGAGACAGTGTTGTATTTATTTCCTTCAGACCTTTATCTGTAGTACTCCTAGACAGTCTGTGAAGTTGTGACACCAGTCTTGGGTAGATTTGTTAGGGATTGGTATTAGCAGTATTATTAAAACTTTACAATGGACCCTTCCACTTATTCAATTCTGTTGTTATATAATTGTTGGCTCTTAACTGTTATCGGATTAAAAATGGAAACAAGGTAAATAGTTTAGTTGGTTGACTTGCCTAGTTTTCACTAGTAGGCGCTATCACGACTCCCGAGGGTGGGAAATCCGGGTCGTGACATATATCTGGTAAAATTTTCACTAAGATATTCTCCACTTTTATCAAACCTTAGTACTTTGATACTTTTACCAGTCTACTTCTCAACTTCACTATGGAACCTCTTGACATATCATCAGTGAAAGTGATGAAGTAAGAATATCCACCTCTAGCTTGAATTTTCATGGGCCCACAAACATGTGTATCAATTAGTCCCAATAATTCAGAAGCTCTTTCTCCACTTCCAGTAAATGGAGATTTGGTCATTTTTCCTTTGAGACAAGATTCACAAGTTGGATATGATTCAAAATCATACTTGTCAAGATACCCTTCCTTGTACAACTTGTTAATTTTTTTCTCTCCAATATGATCAAGCCTACAATGCCAAAGGTATGTATGATTTACATGATCATCTTTTTTCCTCTTAAGACTTGAAACATGCATAATCGAATTAGCATTCACATTAGGTAAGACATAAACATCATGTTGGAGATAGCCATTCACATATAAATTATCACCATAATTCATAGAGCAAATACCATTGCCTAAAATAATGTGAAAACCACGTTTGTCTAACATAGAAGCTGCAACGTTTGCACCATTTCCAACTTGTAGATTAACTTCTCCTTTCTTCAACCTTCTACTTATCTAGAACCCCTACAACATATTGCAAATGTTATAACCACTGCCAGTATCTAATACCCGCAATGAAGAATTAGTAGTAGTTAAAGAAACCTTGAAAACATTTTTGATTAAAGTCTTACCTTGTTTCTTGTCCTTTAAAGTTGCAAGATACTCCTTGCAGTTTCTCTTCCAATGTCCTATTTTCTTACAGTGGAAACATACGGCATCAGATTGGTTAGCTTTGCCTTTGGGTTTGGTCACACCACTCTTGGGCGCAATAGGCTTTTTCTTGGGTTTACTTTTACCTTTACCCTTCTACTTAGAAGAGTTTCCAACCAACATGACAGTTCCTTTCTTCTTCTCAGATGCAAGTTGATTCTCATAATCAATCAACATGTTAAACATCTCATGAAAATCACAATCCATTTTATTCATATTGAAATTAATAACAAATTGTGAAAAGGATTCTGATAGTGATTGCAAGATCAAATCTTCAGAAAGCTCTTTACCCAGTTTGCACCCCAACTTCTCAAGTTCTTCAATAAGATCAATCATATGATTGACATAGGGTCCAACTAGAGAGTTTACTATCAATTTGGATCCAAATAAAGCCTTAGATAGTTGGTATCTAGCTGTCATGCTTTGTGTAGCAAACATCTTCATAAGATGTTCAATGATTGCAGTTGGATCCATATCCTGATGTTTCCTCTGTAGTTCAGAACTCATAGAAGCGAGAATGATGCATTTGGTAGTAAGACATTCCAAGTATTTCTAATAAATCTTGGTAGCATCATCATCATCCTCATCTGGGACTTCCTTGGCAGGCTTATCGATCACATCAATAAGTTTTTTATGCATGAGAACAACTCTCAAATTTCTGTACCTATCATCAAAATTTGGTCCTACCAACTTGTTGGTCTCAAGTATTCCACACTGTGATATAGTAGACATATTGAGAAATCTAAATTAAAAAAGAGAACATAATATAAGAACCTATTTACACATATCATAAAGACATGAACTTTTATCTAAATGATATTTCCACTAATTATTTTAAACTATTTACCCTCATTATAGTTTACGAAATCTTTATTTCTGTTAGTAGAGAAAAGGAATCCTTCAACAATATGTATGAGCCCCTTGGAAGTCAAGTCGTTTCTCACATATATTTTAAAGGTAGGTACTCTTACCAATTGTGTCCTCATATAATTTCCTTAAATAGCTCTATGTCAAATAGTCTCATGGTAGTCAGGTCGATCCTATCGGCATAGTTGAGTTCAACCATCAGGAAAGCAAAGAACTTATTAAATTTTATACTCCCCGGGTGGTCCAGGCGTCTAGTGTAAAATTGATTAATTCTTTCAATCCATACATCTAATGCAATAAATAATTTTAATATATTCTCGAACTATAAGTCTCCTGGTAGTCAGGCCGCTCCTTATAAATAAGAAATAAGTAAAATAATTTACTTTGATGGATAGCTCTTTAATAAAATATCTTATATTTTATTATTTAAGAACCCAAATTTATTTCAAGGGGAATTGTTGCTAAAACAGTTTTTAATAACATGAAGATCAAATCTTTATAGCATGTTAATTTAGTTCAAGTTGTCTACATGCTTAGTCTTAAATTAATTTACATCACATGTAATAAATAATTCAAAATTATGTAACGAACAAGCACGTGACATAAAAACAAAATTCAATATTCTTTTAACATGTTTAATCTATATATCACATATATCACAAAAAAGTAATTCATGTCAGAATATCATTATTAATTAACATCTCATGAGATAATAACAATTAAAAATAACAATAGAATCATATAACCTGTTATAGATTCCCGTCGTATCTAATACAAAATTTCAAATTCAAGTTATGAACTATCTCAATAGTTATATGAATACATATTTTATCCACAATAAAATAATATCAACTTTCAAATGATTTGACTATTGTACAAGACACATGTATTATGGTTTGAACTCTTCAAATATAATATTAAAATATTTCGTAAATAAATTTTAGACACAATAAACCAAGACTCTGATACCACTGAAGGGTTGCGTATAGGTGTTCATAACATGCCGCGGAAGACAATAACAATCCTAGATAGATCTTTTCGTGTTTAAGATTTATTTACATGTCAAAGATAGGATTTGAGATGTACCTGGTGAAGAGAGTCTCATTTCAAAATTCTTCGATAGTGCGAAGACTCTATGCGTATCTATCCCGAGACCAACCCTTTCTACCAACCCTTTGATCAATGAAACCCGCGAAAAAATTGAACGAACTATTGTGCTAAAGTTCNTTTGGACTCTTACGCTACTTAATCCAATTCAAAATTGGATTACAAGCATAATTAATATTATATAGACAACTTTTGTGCAATATCAATTATATTATATATATTACATATATAGTTCAATCAAGAGATATATTTTAATTTTCTATTCCAAATAGAAAAGTTTAATTTGTTCACAATATTAATTATATCCTCTGTGCAAGCAAAGAATATAATAATATTTCATTTGGACTAATAACTAAATTTATTTGACTAATTAAATTCTTTAATTTAATCATCATATAATAAAGTAATTAATCCTTTAGCAAAGATCAGAACACTCGTTAGTGTGCGACCCCATAGGTTCAATACTAAGCCGGTATTAAATTGATCATATCAATATACTAATCAAGGGTGGCATCTAGCAACACTCCTTAACAACCGGATAGCATGAAGTATACAATTTACTCTCAAGAACATGTAGAAGAATAATGTATTAATTCCTTCCGTCCTTATAGCGGCGACTCACCCTAGGATATGGTGCAACTGTCAAATCCTAATAAGCGACCAACTATGTGTTCATATCAAATATAATCGACCATTGAATGACCTAAGAAACTCATTTATTCTTTCATTCAATTGTCCTGGCTAAGGTCTTAATTTGGTCGTTTATAATTCATGACAACATGGAGGTTAAACGCATTACCAAGAGATGACAGATTCCATCTTGATCAATCACTAATTCTACAAGCATTTAATCATACCCAATATCCTTTTAACTATCGCCCTAGGGCCATAGGTGTTTGGTATCAAAAAACAATAAATAACTTGTCAATTACTATGATGATCTCAGGTCAAAGGAAATTTTTACATTACATTCTTCAAGAGAATATCCTATTGACAGTTTATGATAATTCTAACCATTAGGAATTATCCAATGAGTCGGTTCAATGATCATATCTCTATATGCATCATCTATCTATGTAATTTAGTTAATGAGATCAACTAATTTTTATCCCATAAAGACGATCACATAAATATTGATCTAACTGGATTAATATGTCCAAATTAATAATCCTACGATCAAGAATAAATTTAGACTAAATTATAAGAAACTTTACTCTCATTATCATAATCTCCATCACAATGTCAAGTCTGAATATTTAATCAAGGACCTTATCAAATTAATCAAGCAATTATTAACAATGATAAAAGAATATCAAATGCTATATATATTTTATATCAAATAACATTCACAAAAATATGTTCAAATCATCAAATATGATATTAGATCTAGGACATATCTACTATATCCCTAACAGAAAATGTGTCACGACCCTAAATCCGAACTCGGTCGTGATGGCGCCTCTCGTGAAGACAAGTCCAGCCGACACCTCCCATTTCAATTTTAAGCAATCAAATAATAAGAATTTAAGTTTAAAACATGATAATTAATCCAAAAGTGAACAGTTAACAGTACAATTGCGGAAGATAAACCCAACACAGCCCGATACCAGGGTGTCACTAGTCATGAACATCTAACAATACGCTACAAGTCTGAAATGCCTACTAAACTATTATAGAACAACTGATAAAAAGATAGAAATGAGATAAAGGGGGAGAAACACGGGTCTGCGGACGCCAAGCAGCTACCTAGTGGACTCCAAAGTCTGCCAGGAGCTCTTAACTCGCGCTGGCAGGATCAACAATGCCTGAATCTGCACACGGGGTGCAAGGAGAAAAGTGAGTACTCCAACTCAGTGAGTAATAATCTTAAATAAATGACTGAGAGATATGAAAACACGTAAGACACATTACAGGCTATAATGAAGCAGAAAAAACAATGAATCAGTAAAGATATGTATAATCATTTAAGTTCAGTTTAAACTTCATGAAATGCCTTTTCAACAATTAAACAGGTAAATGACAGACAAATAAGGAAGATAAACACATAAAGGTTCGCCCCTCGGGTACAAAGTCAACAAATCCACCCCTCGGGCAATATCTCAGAACAATACCATCCCATCGGGCTATATCTCACATCATAATGGGTACCCGCGCTCACTGGGGGTGTGCAGACTCCTAGAGGGCCCGTTACGGCCCAAGCGCAATATCAAGTCATCTCGTGGCATCATCACTAGGCTCCCGACCTCAGATCAACAAGCCACCTCATGGCATACATATCTCAGGCCCTCGGCCTAACACTCATAACCGGTGTTTCCTTACAACATAGGCCCTCAGCCTTACTCAGTCAAAATCCTCACAAGCCACTCGGGCAATAGTAAAATATGATTCTCAGCCCAAATATCATTTAAAAGATCATTTAAGTATTAAAACAGAGTAAGCATGGTTGAGTTATGAAAATAGTGGAATATAACATGACTGAGTTCAAGTATAAAGTCAAAATAGTGAGGAAATATCAATAAAAATCCCCGAAGGGTTCAAATAGTTGGAACGAGGCCCAAATATGGCATTCAGCCCAAATCATGATGATAGCAAATAGATTTAAGTCAAATACGCGGTAAAATATTCATTCAAAATGGACTAAGTCACAATCCCCAATAGTGCACGACCCAACACTCATCATCAAGCGTGTACGTCACCTCAATATAGCACAACGATGTGCAATCTGGGGTTTCATACCATCAGGACATCATTTACAATTATTACTCACCTCAATCCGGTCCAAACTCTAGCCCGCGATGCCTTTGCCCCTCGCATCGGCCTCCACTAGCCCAAGTGAAAATATGTTAAGGGCACGAAGCCCAAGCGACATCAAAATCAGAATCACGACGTCAAAATATGCTAAGGGAACGAAGCCCAAGCGAAAATAATCAATATACAACACAAATCCCGAAATTACCAAAACCCGACCCCGGTCCCACATCTCGGAATTCGATAAAATTTACATCAATAGGTTCCTTATCTCCCCATGAGTTCATACATATCAAAAGTTTTGAAATCTGACCACAAATGGTCCTCCAAATCCTTAAGTCTAGGTCTCCAATACCAAGCCCTAGTTTCCCCAATTTTTACCCTTAATTCCCATTAATTACAACTCTAATCATGAAATTATATCGTAGGAACAATTTTTAGGTCCAAAATCCTTACCTCAATGAAGCATCCATGAATTCTCACTTCAAAATCGCCCAAAACTCCAGAATTCACGTTTAAAAATGGTGAAACCCTCTGAAAATCGCGAAGGAAGAAATATATACATTCTGACCTAGGAATTTTTGCATCTGCGATCAATCCACTGCATCTGCGGTACCGCTTTTTCAGTCCAAGAGTCGCTTCTCCGGTTTCTCACTTAGACGCCTACTTCCGCTTCTGCGATTCCCCTTCCCGCACCTACGCCATCGAAGATGCGTCTCCTCAGCCGCTTCTGCGGCTCCAACCTTCCTAGGCCGTTTCCACTTCTACGGCCCTCTTCTTTGCAT